AGCTGATCGCAGCTCAGTCTTCACACCATTATCATTCCGGCTTGCCATACAACTTTCATCGACAGCTCCCCACATTTAACACACAGGAAGTGTGTTACAATAATACTCAAGCAACTCAGGAATGTTGCAATGATTAGCTTCGAGGTGAATCACACATGTCAAACATGCCCAAATGTTTTAGAGGAGAATGGAATTGGTGTCAATAAACTTACAATCAAAAGCCAAGTGAAAGAGAGAGGGAGTGAGAGGGAGTGAGAGAGGGGGAGAGGAAGAGAGGAAGAGTAAGAAAGAAACAAGAAAGTTTTGTTAACTTTGAGCAGCTAAAAGAATCTGTAATGTGAACTATATTCATAGTGTGATTGGAAGTGGATGATACTTAAGAAACTCAGGTAGATAACAGTTGCTATTGATGCTCCTTATTGCTACCTACATACTGGGAGCACAGGCCAGACATAGTGCCAAAACCTCTGAAAATCATTGCAGAATCTTCCAGAATATATATCCCAGACAGCAAAAAAATCACAAGTCTTTTTCTGAAACTAGGACCCCTGACACCCCTACAGACCAGAAAAATATATCCTTACCACATCTGTTTCACAAAATATATCCCAAGGCCAAGCCAGGGCAAAAATATATTTCTAAGGTGTGACAGTGACATCTCAGGGTCCACTCACCAAAAATATATCCTTACTGCATTTCACTTGCAAAATATATTTTGGTGGTGTGACACAGATATTATAATTTTTGTGTGACATTTCAGGGTCCATGTCTCAAGAATATATTTTAGATTTCAGGGCTTTCTAGGACCCATATATATCTAGAATATAGATATGGTCCATGACATTTAGTCATGTAACTTACGTGGAGTTTGCATGACTAATAGTCAGTTGGCAGTGGGTGACTGAAGTGTTCTCTTGGTGTCAGACCTGTTAATACACAATAACACTTGCCTATTGGTTTGAGCTATGATAGAATGCCTGCTATAAAGCAATAGATGCAGTGGTGGTAGAGATGTAAGAAGGTGAATTGTCACATGACTACTACTGACAAGTATGGAAGGGAGTCATGTGACACAAATGCTAAGTAATGGAAAGTAAATGATATAGAGGAAGAGTAGGATCCCATATCCCTGCTACAGTAGATATGTAACACACTATCTATGTGTTATATCTGGGGAGCTGTTGATGAATGTTGTATAGTGAGTCAAAACAATAATGGTGTGAAGACCAAGCTGTGATTAGCTAAAATACAGTGAGATCTTGGTCCATGAGAAATTCTGCCAGTATCTAGTTGATGCTTCAGAATTCCACTGCACAATCCCCACTCCTTCTCTGGAAATTCTTGAAAAAGTGATACTAGGAGAGATATGCTGTTCTCTTTCATTTAATGTAACATGGCCATATACATCACAATGCAACCACTACACCAAACGGTTGGATAAATGAAAGATTACTCCTTCACCTACTGGTGCTATAGACAGCTGTATATCTAATACAGCCTTACACCCTCCCTGACTCTATAACATCAATCAGGACCTTCCAATATGTAGTTATCATGGGGAGGTACCATATAGGTGACCCCAGGGGATTTCACCTTGCAACTTGTCACTTACTGCTACAGTTGGTGAGGTTAACCAGCTGGCAATGTAATCTTGCCTCCAGCTTGGTTTGAACCACCAACTTGCTAAGAAGCCATACTGAATGCTTTCACAACAAGAGTATTCAGTGACCCTGAAAAACTCAAATTACTTGCTAAACTTCTGTGTTACAAAACCAGTTTATCAGGGCAGGTCTTATCTCTTCCTGCATCTGTATCCAACCTCTTGTGGATTTCGAAGGTAGCTTTGAATATCTGGAGCAATCTCAAATCTCATTAAAATACACCCACTTCTAGTCTCTAACACTCATTCTTCCTCTCTTTGGACTGAGCTGTGACAAGTCTTCACACCATTGTCATTCAAGCTTGCTGTATGACTTTCATTGACAGCTCCCACATTTAACACACATATAATCTATTAGACCACACAAATTTGGAATACTACCAGAATAAAATCAGAAAGAAATCAGGTGTTGATGATGGGCAGATGTTTGCATGGTCTGTTCACAGTTCCTAATATAGTAATTACTGAAATTACAGCCAAAAAGTTAGAAAAAATAAGAAAACAAATTCACATGCTGGAAATGGTCATTGATTATATAAATGTATTATTTACTTGGTCTGTGCATATTTCTAAATATGGTAATTAGTGAAAATATCGCCAGAAAATCAATATCTGACTCTAGTTTCATCTTATAGGCACATGATAAATGCATCATATAGTTGTTCACATGATATGGTAGTCATGTGACATAGATCATGTGACATATCAATGGAGTCTGATCATGTGACAAGTCATGTGGTCTGATCATGTGACATATCATATGAATGTATCATGTGATATAGTCACATGATCTCTTTTTCCAGCCAGCAAGGATGTTGGCACTTGTCTAGTATTTACACCAGAATAATGTGGCTACTACAATTGCAAAATAAAGTAAGTATTTCATTTCCACATGAAAAATTGTCATAAAATCAGAAATAAATGGAGATAGTGCTCACTATTGGTAATAATATTGAGAACTGTCCACATGGTGTGTGCACCTTTCCTAATATGGTAATTAATGGAAATATGACCAAAAAATCAGAAGAAAAAGAGAAAAAATAATAGAGTGTTGTCAAAGGTCTGTGCACATTTTCTAATAAGGAATTATATCTAGAAAATTAGAAAAAAAAAAGAAAAAAAAATGTTGTTACCATTATTCATGTGCATTTCCCAATATGGTAATTAATACAAAATTAGTTAGAAAATTAGAAAACAAAAAGGAAAAAAGAATACACTGCTGTGGATATACTTTCAAATAGGGTAATTAATATGTCTGGCCATCAACAAAACAAACAGATGATTGAACTGGAATGGGAAGCCACTCTATTATTTTACAATTAGCTGTAATATTACACTGTGGGCCTTGGCTTATATATCCACTGGGTATAACATGGAAAAATGGGGTATATATTGATAATAATGCTACCTTTTAACTGCCAGAATTAGTTGAAAGATATTTAAAATGTTGTATATCATTTTATCGATTTTTTTCCGTTGGAATTATTTAGAATTTTCAGGGGCGGATAAATGTCGAAGATATTGGAGAGGAAATTTCCACAAAAGGCAACTCCATATCCGCACAGCAAATATGTGGAAGATATGTAAATAACCACGAGGTAAAGAACTGCTAAATATGGCAGTATTCTCGGACCTAACACTTGAAATCTGGATCTGTTCATACCACCAATCACTCGTTCTAGCTCCGACCTCCCGCCCCTCAACGCTTCACTGGTTTCTGAGCTTTGCGTATCACGAAACCCAAGACAAAGATTGAAAACAAACTGACTCGGAGGAAGACTTCATTCGAACACGGATCCTTGCTACGTATCAAGACACTAAAAAGGCAGAAGTGCGTATTGAAACTATAAGGACGTGCCCACCCATCTACCTCATCTCACCAGCACCCCGCCCACAAGTGTCATCCCATGCCCAATTCCTCTCCCGCTGCCTCTTTCCACTCGGAAGCCTCAGCATTTTCCGCCCCTCGAACGTTTTCACGCTCATCAATCAGCCATCTGTGTTCTGCATGTGGGATCTAGAAGACTTGTTGGCGTGTTCGCGCAGACCTTGCAAATGGGTGTGACGGACGATGGGGACCCAGAGCAGGATTACGAGAGGGGAGGTGAGAACGTGCTTCCAGAGGGAGAAATGTGGAAGGAGAATGACCCAGGAAGCTGGTCCTGGAAAAGATCAGTGCAATGGATGACGGGTGTGGATTCAGGTCAGCTTCCAGAGGACGAATATGGACAGAGTTCTCTGTTGCACGATACATCCCTTTCAATGACATGGCGCTATGGGAGAACCCCTCGAACTTCAAACCCACCACTGGCACCTCTGCACTCCCTCCTTTGAAAAAAAAAAACAGTCATCCGCGTTCTGCATGCGAGAAGACTTGTTGGCTCGTCCACGCTTGGTCCACGCAGACCTTGCAGGACGGCCTTTGCTTTGAGTTCCTCATTCAAATCCTTGTCATCCGTTTAAAGCAATCGCTTTTCCCCTCTCCCTTTCCAGCCCTAACCGACATCGCTTCTGCTCCTCTCTTTGCACCAGGCCTTTCCCCCACTCCATCTTTGGCACCTCCTTCTCCTTATGCTTTCTCTTTAGACGCGCAGCCTCAGTTCCGTTCATTCTTATCCAGGGAAGGGATATGAGTTTTTATTTTGGGAAGGACTTGGGTCGCGATAATTTTGAAAGAATTCTATCAATTCATTTCATATGGTGAGATACTACTCCCTGGACTCTTTGTTACCCGTATTTGTACACATAGAATAGCCCGGCAGAAGTTTATATCCTGGCGAAAGTCTGATTCAAATGATTATTGTGAGGGGTAGTGTGAGGATGGTGTGAGCAGCTTACAGGCATCCCGAATCCAGATGCCAGTTTGAGGTGACGCTCGATAAAGGGCCTTTTGGGTGAGGAGAAATATCCGCAGCGTTTCTGGTTCGTACTATTTCCGATGTCAAGCTGGTATCGAACAAAACATTCCTCTGTGGGAACTTGGAAGAAGAAAACTGACCACGCCTTGACCTCGCCGATGATTTTCCGTACAGGAGTCACTGGTTGCCTGTGGTCTGTCACAGGGCCAGGTGACCAAATACTTAGTCACAGAAGATTAATGTTTTAATGTTTGACGTTCATGATGTGCTGGTGCTGGTTCAAGTTGCTGGTGGAGATTGGGTTTTGGGTTGAAGCCACAATGGTCACGTGAGTCACTTTCTGGTGATCTTCAATTCCCTGCCAACGCACAACAGATGTTGTCAAGAACAGACGACGAAATGGACGTCGATGAGGAGTTGGTTGAGGGCCTAACCGACGAAGACACCAAATTCAGAAGAAGAAGCTGAGGGCGAGGATGACGATGTACCCAACCCCGAAGAAACGTACGCCGAGAAGGAGATTGAATAAGATTTCGAGTTCGCATTTCTTTATAACTCATAATTCTGCTGGTCAGCACAATCGCAGTCGTCTAGTACAGAACATACGACTCCGGGACACGTCTTCAAACAACAGAGCGAGTGGCAGCGCATTGACAAAGGATTGGGATTTCAGCATCGAGGAGAAAGAGGCCGAGTTTCACGATGATCTCAGGGAAGCCTCTGGTATTGGCCGGAAATGCAAATGGGCAAGTGAGCTTGCCTACGCTCGTTTTTTTTTCTTTCTAAAACCCCCACAGAAAGGCCGAACGACGGGGCCAGTCCTCTCTCAACAAGTTCGCTCCCTTATTGGGGATGGGAATCTAGACAGCAACATATCTGAAGCAATCCGGATGATGCAAGAGGTCATACGCACTGGACCGCGTGCGGCGAGTGGTTGGTCTATCCTTGCGCAGTGCTATGAAGATATGGAACAAGGGCAGAAGGCGCTACAGCTTAGGATCATGGCAGCTCACCTTCGACACGATGCGGATGAGTGGGATCGATTGGCGAGGCAGTCGAGGGAACATGGGTATAACCAACAGGCGTTATACTGCTATCGAAAAGTATCAGTCTTGACCCGACAAATGTCGATGCATTGTGGGATCGAGCATCGTTGGCAAAGGAGATTGGAGACTTTCGAACAGTAAGTTCATTCACACTCATCTCATTACTACATTAACATTGCCCTTCAGGCCCGCAACGCATTCACAGCAATCCTTAAACGGTTTCCACACGACCTGACCGTTCTCCACGAACTCCACACCATCCTTGTCGAGCTCTCCGAACTCCCAACTTGTGCCGACCTCCTCCAAGCCGCGTTCGAACACTACCAACACATCTACCCCACCCCTTTGGAGATCATCTTCACCAAACTTGACCTGCTCCTCCTAGCCGACTTTTACAACGCTCTTGGGGATCACGAAAAAGCAGCCCAGACGATCAGGCGCAGAACTCGTTGGTTGCAAAGGAGAGCCGAGCAGCGGTATTGGGATTTGTGCGGGGATGATAGGGAGTATGATATGGATAGGTGGCCGGGGACAAGTGTGATTGAAGAGGGAGGTCAGATACAGGCTGAGAGGTTTGAGCTGGATGCCAATGCACGTCATCGGTTGGCGGTTGCGAGGATTAAGATGGGCGAGATCGAGGAGGGAAAGGTGAGTTTGGTTCCCTTGGTTGTGGGAGATGCTGATTTTCATTGGTTAGCTCCATGCGAATGCGGTCTTGGCAGAAGATACTCTTGATTACGCAGTCCTCTTTGCTGAGATTGTAGATGCATACTTTGAGAGGGGGATGTACACGGAGGGGAAGCCTATCTACGAGCTCCTTGGTGCTGACCCTGCGGTACGTGACTCCCAATACGTCTTTTTAAAATTATGGCACTCATCGCAACTGAAGACAAGCAGTATCTATCTATATTCTCTTACAGACAGCTGCATGTATGAAGATGCTCGAAGAACTTCATGAAGCTGCAGAAGTCTATGAACACAGTACGACTTTCTTACTTGACAGCTAACTAGCACACTGATTGACACATATCAAGTTCGACAGGCTGATCCTATGCACAACGACGCCAAAATGAAGCTTGCCGAGATTTATGAGATCCTAGGTGAAACTCAATGGGCTTTAGAGCTACTATATGAAGGTATGCAGTCGTTCTTCTCTCCCATCCCATCCTCAATTCAACGCCTCCCAGTCATCGACTCCCGCAAAAAGCGCGCAAAGGCACCGGCGACCCAGTTTGAAGACGACCCCACCACAGCCTCTCTCTTCGCCGAAGAACGTATTGCCAGGTCTAAAGCTAACGCTATCCGTGTCCAGCATCAACTAACGCACCTGCAGCTGAGGGAGCTGGAGGCGGCCAAGGAGAAAGAGGTGATGCAGGGGTATCAGAGGATAAGGGAGCTGTGGGCAGGTATGATGGGTGGGGATGAGGAGTGTGAGAGGGAGTGGATGGTGGAGGCGGAGAAGCTTGTAGATATGTTTAGGGAGATGAGGAATTTGTTTTTGACCAGTCGGGTGGGTTGTCTTTTTTCCCTTTTGGGGTTGGGTGAGGGGCTGATCCTGTTGACGGGGCTTAGGGTAACCCGTTCAAGGGGATGTTTCCAAGGAGTCATAGAAAGAAACAGAAGGTCGAGACGGAAGCTGATGAAGATCGGATGGCGTTGAGGTTGCAGCTTGACTTGGGTTGGTTCTTGCTTCAATTGTCAGGTTGAGGCTAACATTGATCTTTTTAGAACATGATAGCATGTCGAGGAAGGCGACCAAAGGAGAGGTGCAGATCGGCAAAGTGGATGTATTTAGAGGGATTTCATTCGATGACTGGTTGAAGTTGTTCATGCAGGTTTGTTCGGATTCTCTCTTACCTTTTATGTGCTCTTTGGTTGATCCTGGGGACCAGTATTGCTTTCTCCTCACCCGACAAGGTCAATACGACATCGCAGATGAAATCCTTCGACATATCCTGGTCTCAAATGCATATCAAGCTCGTGAGCGACAGGACTCTATTCGACTAGCAATTATCAGTGAGCATCCCTCCCTTGGGCTCTTCGTACTGTCTGAGCTCATACGTTTCTGCCTGTAGCTTGTGGTTTGGCTGCGGGCCAACACACCGCTGTTGTTGTACAAGCACGCAAACTCATAACCGTACACCAATTCAACAACGAGCCACTTCGAATCCTCATGGCTTGCCTATCAAGTGGCCTCCACCCCACAGATTCTTTCATCACTTCCACACTTCAAAAGCATCTGTTTAGGGAAATGAACTTGGCAGATACGGCTGTGAAGAGCCCAGAAGTGCTCAAGTGGAATCCATTGAACAAGCGGTATGCACCCACTGCACAGAGCAGGAAAGCGGAGGATGGGGCTGATGAGGATGGGGATGATGGAGTGCCGGACCAGGGTGGTGATCAGGAGAGTGGGGCGACAGCTATGGCAGGGAGCCACAATGTCCCTGAGATTCCGATGAAGTATAACCCAGTTATTGTGGCTATCTATGGCCAGATTTGTATCGCTGCGAAGAGCTATCAGAGTGCTATTTGTGAGTTCCCCCTTTCGTGAGCGTATATGCTGCTTCTTGCTGACGTTGTGGATAGTCTATCTGTTGCATGTATACAATTATTGCCCTGACGATCCGATGATATGCTTGTGCTTGGCCATAGCTTCCATTGGTAGGGCAATGCAACGTCAGTCAGATAACTGACATCATCTTGTTACACAGGTAGTTCTATCCGCTCTGAGAAGGATTATGGGACTAATGATTTGTTTCCTTGTAGGCTATGGCGTTCCTAACGCAGTATCGCAGTCTCCGAGGAAGTGACACACAGAGTGTACCAGAAGTGGAATACAATTTTGCCAGGATTTTCCATCAGCTTGGTCGGTCTCATCCTCCTGTCGTTGTGCGCCTTCCTTGCTAATTCTACCCAGGACTTTACTCCTATGCGGTCAACCATTACGAAATGTTCTTGAACTTGCGGAGAAGAACAATGTACGCCTCTGCTACCCTCCCCCTCTCGTCAATGACTGTATCGTAACAGGACGATCTCTTCACCAAAGAGGCCACATACAACCTATCCCTGATTTTTGTTTTCACTGGCGCCACTCACCTGGCGAATGCTTTGTATTGTCGATGGTTCTCAATATGATCAGAAGAAGAAGAATTGAATGAAAAGTAGAATATCAGCTCTATGTAACTGAATAGTTGTAGTTTATCGTGTATGGTCTATTTATGCTTGCTACATCCCGTCGACTCACGTTAACTGAGCGTTTCCAGATCATGCCCTTAACATTCCGAGCCAAGGGAGGGTCCTTGTCAACGGGTACGAACTGGGCATTCAATGCAAATGGGCAGACAGGTGTACCTTTGTACGGTGATTTGAAATACAAGGTGTGAGAATGCAAACAAAAGGCAGGTCCCCGTAACTAAAATTGATTATACTCAGCCATGCCTCGGCGCTTGAATATGAAAAAAATGAGAATGGTAACTCGTCGTCATCAATAGAAAAGAACGTGACAGAGGTACTACGTATGAGCTTCAGTTTTGACAATACAGTTTCGCTCCTCCTCCTTCTCTGCTTGTAGTCTCATCATCCACTTTTGATGGTCCGCAACTCGTTGCGCATCCTCGGTTTTGTCCCCATTCCTCAACTTCCTGGCCTTGTAGATCTCGCCGCCAAAGCTATATCAGCCTGCGCGGCGGCCTCGTGAAACTCGAGAATTTTGGTTACCCGCATCTCCATTTTGAAGCGCTCAAACTCCTTCTCACCATCAGAGGACGGCAAGGAGTCGGAGTTGGAGGGGTTGGAGGGGTGTGGGCCGACATACATACAACCAGGAAGCCGTGCTTTAGTCTGTGTGGGATAGGTGTTCTTGGGGATAGTGGAAGAGGCAGAGGTGACGCCATTGGGATATTGCGGATGGAGAAAGCTGCTGGTGCTGCTATTGGCGGAGATAGCTCCACCCCCAAGTTCTGGTAGACGTTTGGGTGGTGCCAAACGAGATTGTTGGGACGATGAGCTCGACACATGGCTGATGGAGTTGAAGTCGAAGCCGTTGGAGATCGGTGGTAGCTCTGGAGAGCTGCCTTGGCCTGCCTCCATGCCGTTTTAGCTGGGGATTGGGGATTGCTCCAGCCACCATTGATGCCGCGGATGGGAATGGGGATGGGTGCGTCCTCGTCTTCGGATGTTAGGTCTTGTGAAGTGGCCTGGGTAGGGAGGAAGAAAGGAAGTTGTCAGCACGTGTTATGGTGAGGAAGGGTGGGTCATACCATGGTATACAACAAGAAGCCTCGTTCGTCCGGCTTTCTGATGAGAGGAAACCCGCCTTTCCCACCCTTCGCTCCAGGCACCCCTTCCAACTGCGTTCTCAACCTTCTCCTCAACGGGTTATCTTGGAATCAACAAAAGACGAAGCTTAATACCCGGAAAGAAGATGGGTGGCATGAGGGCGATCGCCAGGCGTTGAAATTTTAATTGCAACTTGATAGCAACACTAAGAGAAAGATATGTTGCCATGTTTCCCATAAATCTCGCAAACATGAATCTTAAAGGGTGTATGAGAAAGAAACGAAGGAATCAGACTGGAGGCTTACAACATACGGCTAGGGTGATGGAAATCGCACGGCACATAGAATATTGAGCGGCGTGAGCGTGATCGTGGAAATTGGCGAAAGGTCGAGCTTGAGAAGCGACGTAAAGAAAACAGTGACCACATAGCGATGGCCAGACTTTGAAATTCAAAAGATAACCGTCAGAGTGAGTCTGAAAGGGAATATGAGACAATAAAAACAAAGGAGGGTATAGAAATAAACTTACGATGTGAAGGCAATCGCGGGAACTCTAACAACCCAGTTTGAACCGTGGGGGTGAAGCGGCTCAAAGAATACGATGGGCAGCACACCATAGCGATGGCCGGACTTTGAAATTCAAAGATAATTGCAAGAGTGGATCTGGAAGGGAATCTGAGAAAATAAAAACAAAAGAAGGGGTATAGGGATAAGCTTACGACGCCTAGGAAGGTGGGTAGGTTGAGGAAGGTTGCGGGAACTCCAAAAATCGAATTTAAATGGAGAGGGGTCATGTTGTAACAAGAAAACACGGTAGTAGCACTATGTGCTTCCATGTATCGATTGCCGGACGTCATTAGAATGCTGGACACCCATCTAGAAGGATTGATTGGTAAGAGAGCGAAAAAATAAACACAACTTACGTTTGGAAGACACAGCCATATCAGTGTGTTTGCTGGAACGCAATATGTTGCGTCGGGCCAATATTGGAAGAGCGGGGTGGCACACTGCGTGATAGCGATCCCCGGATGTCGAAAAATCAAATTAGAACATCTAAGAAAGTAGGATTAGTTCGTGAACAAGAATGTAACTTTATAGAAACTTACCAGCACGTAGCAATGGCCAGAATTTAGAAAATCAAAAAATCGTTACAAGACTGTAGAAGGGTATGAGAAAAGAAAAACAAAGGAGGGGTGTAGGAACAAGCTTACGATGTCAAGGAGGGTGGATAGAGTGAGGGCGATTCCCGGAACTCGAAAAATCGAGTTTGAGTGGCAAGGGGTATGTTGTAACAAGAAAACGTGGTAGCAGCACTATGTGCTGTCACGTTGCAATCGCCGGACATCGAAACAGCGAATTAGAACACTAGACACACATTGGTAAGACAATTGGTAAGAGAACGAAAGAATAAACACAACTCACGTTAGGAAGGCACAGCAGCAGAGGAATGTTTTCCGGAAAGCGATACGTTGCGTCGGGCCAGTCCAGAGGTAAAGTTGGAGGAATAGGTTCGAACTTTGCACGCTGCGTGATAGCGATCCGCCGAAGTCCAAAAATCAAATTAAAGCATCTACAATAAAGGAAAGAAGTATTAGTTCGAGAACAAAGGTGAAACGTGGATAGAAACAGACCCGATGATCTTCAAACACTCAAAAATCAAATGGACACGGGTGTACAACCTGGGCGGCCTCCGAAAAATCAAGAAAGATTGGGAAAAACCCTGCAAAAAGTAAATGGGGGTTCAGGACAATAATGAGAAGACCTCCTCGTGACAGAGATCCCCAGAACGCCAAAAATCGAATTAGAAATTCGTGCAGCAATGGTCGATTTTTCAATAACTCCCAATGACACACACTCTCCTCCCGTTGACTACGTCCACTTTCTTCTCTTTTCGTCGTCGAACTCCACTGCCCTCTTGTTGTTAACCTCGCGATTGTCGTCGTCATTCACCGCTGTGACATCAGTAAGTTGTCTGGTGGGTCTGTCCTCGTTGACTTTCACCTTGCTCATCGACATTTTAGAACCGTGCTTGGAGGCCCGACGTCAGGCAACGCTAGACGGTAGCCAGGTACGTGAGCTGCTTCGTCATCAACAATGTTCGCTTACCCTTCCTGCAGGCTGGTTGTCACTGATGAAGATGGTAAGTTTTTATCTACACGAGTTACGCATCCCCTGCTTACTTACCACACTGCTCATGCCCCTCAGGTTTCCCATCATAAAAATCTCACTTTGTATGTACGCAACGTGGAACATCTCGATTCGACGTCATGAAGCACAGCTTGAATGGGTGGGATAGGTGGTGCAAGACAGAGGTTGATTCTGGGAAAAGTATGTCACGGTCATTCACTTCTCCTTGACCTTACTCACCTGGATACCCAAGCTTCTTCGTCGCGTCTCCTCCCACATAACGATTGCCCTCGGCTGTTGATGACACTCTAAAAGGTATGTTGGCGTTGTTGCGCGTTTGAGCCGCTGACTGAACCGTTCCTTCTAATGTCGATGTCGTTTACAATGGCAACACGAGATGTATGATCTACGGAACGTAAGTTATTGTCCACCAATACCGACAGAAGCCAGCTGATTTGTGGTGTTGAAACCTGAAGGTTAAATGGGTGTTGAATGGGTGAGCAAAGTGTAACATGTGACAATAGTGACCACAAGACCACCATCTCGATAACTGCGGCCTGCCGACAGCTCACCCATTCGACTGGGCACAAAGCCCTGTGCTTCCAACGTGTAGGATGACTACGATGGACGTGACGGAGGTCTAGGAGTCGATGTATAGTGGTAAGACGTTGAGAATGGATTGCCTGGTCGTGTCAACGCTTACTGTGGTTGTGGAAGATCGGTTGAATGTCGACAACACCGCAGCTTTCGAACGACTCGGTCATTGAGGGAACAGGGGTGGATAAGCAGGCGATATAAAGATGGAGCGGAATTTGGGGCAGTGCATGGATGGTATTTGTCTTCTCCTTATACTTTTGCCCTATTCCCTTTGGAACGTCATGAACACTTCGTAGGCCAATCGACAGCGGAACGATGCAGAAAGCGCTACACACAAGTCCCACATTGTGGGCGCTGGTCATACACATAGGGAATGGATCACTGTAGTAAGTGGTCAGCACGATACTTGAGTGACGAGATATAGAAACTGACATTGTAACAAAAGGGATAGGGCAAGGGGCTGCAAGCAGAAGATCCCGAGAAAACGACTCCCTTCGTCTTGTCCCATCAAAGTCCCAAAGGAGTTGAATCCAGGGTCGGATATGGGAGACTAAATCAGCGTGAAGATAACGCCGTACACAATGCGATAGACTTGTAGTATTCACGGTAACACTAAATATACAGCGTAACTAATAGAAACTGTCCAATTATTTGTAGAAACACTATTTTATTATAAGCCTTGATGCCGTTTTGTGGGGGATTCATCTCGAGAAGCTGATTGGATCGATATCGATCTTTTTCGGGATTCTCTTGTGGATGACTCCACCATCGCAACCTCTTCTTCCACGTAGATGTCGTCGTCTTTGACATCCTCTTCCAGTATAACGTTCACGTCGTCGCTATCCAACACCTGATTCACATCTCTCCATTCATCTGTACTATCCACCGGAATCCCCATCTTCAACTCCTCCCATCTGCTGATATGTGTGGTTGCCCAGAGCTGCAATGGAAGACTGGGAAGTTCGTCGTCCTGGAGAAGATGCTTGTCCACCATGTGAGTGATGAATTCATATTTCCAAAATGTGACTAACTGTCCATTTGACGCAGGGGGGCAGATGGTGCAGTTAAGAGGGATGTTGGTACACGGTTTCAGGTTGGTGGGTCTACCAGCTGCCTTATATTGCATTTTTTCGTAGTGGTACTCACAATTTGATGTGATCTTTACAGTGTTCTTGCTCTCCACAAGCTGGGTCTTGCAACCATCCCTACCACACCAACCGCATGCATCGGCCCCGATCTCTTTTACCACTAGATCAACGACATCTCGGCAAGCCTTTAATATGTGGATGCCAACGTGATTTCTCATTTCGTTTATGTGGAGTATTTTGTTACAAATGTGACACGGGCGTTGATCAGTTCCGTTGAGTTTGACTAGGTTCAAGGGAGTGGTAATCTTGTCTGGCGTAATAAAAAGTGTGGCCAGTGTTTCGAGCTCCATTCGACGGTAAGGAAGTTTATTGAGTCCTTTCGGGCCACTAATCATTGGAAGCAAGGTAACTGTTTCCGCAATGTTCGCAGATTCGGGATCCAAAGCCGACCATGCATGCGCAAGTGTCCGTTCAAGATCGAAATGGTCGAGAGACCATATCGGATGACCAGCTGAGTTGTATATAATTTTTGGCGAGAGAGGATGAAATACCTTCCCTGGTATGTGCTTCACAAGGTGCCGTTGGCGGACAGTGCCACCTTCGTTAGCTACCAATGGGATATACTCTTGAGACCACCACCAAGTAAGTTTCTCAGATTCGTCCTTTGGTTCCTCAGCAATCAATTCAATTATTTGAATGGCCACAGTTACTGCATGCTGACCCTCGGAGTCAAGATCGTTTACGTCGATCGATGCAAGGTTAGTCTTCGAAGTGCCCTTTCGAAAGTTCAGGACCTCAACGACTGCAAGACAGATATATTCGCCCACGCGAACCAATATGCCTCCAAGGTCACCAGCCTTGACCTTTTCTTCAGACACGTCTAGGTCATCTCCTGAGGAATTAATATTCAGGGATCTTCGCAATGATTGCTCGACCGTGATCCCTTGTACGCGAAGTCCGTGCGTTGTGCTCAATGATTTTTTCTTTCTGTCGGCGCCAAGTATTTGACTGACGAGAGTTGGAATATATTGTTTCTGGCCCTCAACAAGAAGGTAGGATGTTCCAGCCATTTCTGTTGTTGGATTCAGAAGGTCGCTCTGCTGAAATTCAATCCCAGTAAATTCGTCTGCATCGATGGTACTGGCTGCATCCTCGACGATGCTGTCGCCAGCCTCGGATACGCCAATATCAAGATGTCCTGTCGCAATTCCATCATCAATTTCGACGTTGTCATCGTCTACATCCCGATTTCCAATGTATTCTGTTTTTGGTCGAAGATGATCTGTGTGTGGCTTTGAAAAGAGTTTGTCGAAGTTAGGGGCAGCTGATTTACTGTGGAAATGTTCGTTTAGAATTTCATTGGCCTCTAGCCTTCCAGCAAGGTATTCAGACTTGAGATCAACGTTACCGACGCGGACGTCGCCAATCCATGATTTGGGATTCATGTGATCAATCCCTCGAGCATTGACAAGATTGCGACGAATGTGTCCTCGATCAAGGTCAGGATGCCGTTGAAAGATAGCATCTATTTCTGCGCCGATGCTCAATTTCTGTGAGAGCTGTTGAATGTCGAAGTTGCGAGCATGGTCTTGAGTGCGTACATGGGAGAAAACATTTTCCAACCGGTCTGTCCCTTCAAACAGAATGAAATAAGGTATGTTTGGATCTGAAATTTGTAGCCGTGCAGTTGTAAAGATTATATTCTTTACGATTGCTTGGGAATCTGCAATGAGGGCACTTGACATAAATTCAAGACCATGTCGCAGATATAATGCTGTGATTAAATGGGCATATCGCGATAATGCGCGGATCTGCTCTGATAGTGATAACTCGACATTAATAAATGGATAGAGGAAGGATCCCAAGACTTTTGAAATAAAAGCAATGCATCGCATTCTCTCTTGAAGTGTCGGGTTATTGGTGATAGTTTTTTGGCCATCTAGGAGTGTCAGACATTGAAGCAAGTTAACTGCTTTGGGAACATTTTGCTTATCCACTGGACTGAGTAAATTTAACGCCTCTTCTGGTGTCATATCTGGCAATTGCTCGAGAGCACGAAGTACATCACCTGATGTAATGTGTACATTTCCAACTTGTACACCCTTTGGCGACCTAATCATTGTTGCAAACCGTTTTACGATGTGTTTGGGATCACAAGTTCCCAATAGTCCGTTGTGGCCTGTTTCTAAATTCAATCCAGGAAGCCCAAATATTTTTTTACCAAGGTCAGATTCCTGCTTGACAGTTTCTTTGCCAAGTCCGATGATAAAGCGGAGTTTTCGAAATGAGGATTCTCCATCTGTGGCAATAGTAAATATTGGGCCATGTCGTGCCTCGCCATCAGGATGTTTATGGTAGGTTTCTATGAAATTTGCAACCCACAGTGCCAGCTGCTCGCCCTTTTCTGTTTTGCAAGAGCTGGCTAGGACAAGGGGAGTTACATGATAATTTTCTATACCTGTAACCGGCGCTATCCCGAGGACCGTTGCATCTTTTCCATAATGACAAAGTTGATGATCACTTTCATTTGCGTCGAGAGCATGAGCTACATTGTGAAGGTCTTGAATGTCGTCCACAGTTGTTTTAATATTTCCACAGTGCTCACGGCAAAGTCCTAGCAGAGATTTCCGTTTAAAATCAAAGCGGATAGCCTCTTCGATTGCAGCTCCATCAATGACAATTTGTACTTGTGAAGCTGCTGATGGCTTTCGTCCCCTTTCCCCCAGAAATGCGGAAATATTTGCAGAGAATTCAGATATAATTGGCTTTCCCACTGATACAGAAAGCTCAGGAATTGGTTTCCGCTTTCGCAATGTGCTGAGCGATGGATACCCCTCCGCTTTCTGGAGTGCATAAAGCAACCTTGGGCCACCAATTGCCTTGGTTAAAAATGCGGTGTCAAATTCCCGTTCTGTCCATCCTGAATGGGGTCTGTATGTTCCTTCAATTGCACAATGAAGTTTCATGCAGATAGCTTCTTCATTAGCTCCATTTCGCAGTGCGACAGATAAAATCCTGGAGACCCCAGCAATCCTATTTTGTGAGATAAGCATGATCATCCGTTGATAGTCATTTAGCTTCTTCTGTAAGCGTCCAACTTGTTGAGCACATAGTGATAGCTTTATGTGGAGTGCATTGGCCCTCTTTCGAGACATTGTAAGCATATTCTTGAGCTGTCTCGCATTTAAATATTTCCATGGAGTGTGAGGCATAATATCTTTTTCTGCACGGTCCATAAATTTCCTCAGAGCTTTCGAGTTCAATAAACTGAAGCATTTAGCGCATGCTCGACGATTCATTTCAATTTTTGTTGTCAGAAATATATTGCAGGAGTTAGATTGAAGTCGAATCCACCCCGGTCCTTCATAACCAATGGGTGCCCACCCAATATCGTTGCCATCATGCTGTTGGAATGCATAGGTATCCCACACGGAACCAGCTTTCCATTCAATAATTTGGCCAGTACAAACATTATCCGGAAAACTATCTTCAAGCTTTTCTGGACTGAGTATTATGAGTCCTTACGAGTTTACGAGTAAGACTCATTCTTTATCAACTGAGGACTTAGACAAATTTTTCATTGATTCATTGATTTACCTTTCATCACCGCGGGAACCTTTTCTCTTAAGGAGAGAAGCAGCCATAAAATCAGGAAAAATGGCAAATAAATTGGCCAAAAATGTGTAGAAAATCAGAATATTGCTTAGTAAGTTGGAGAGGCTGTGTTCAGGGTTCAGGGTCCATATCCAAATATAGAAAGCTGTCTGAAAAATGGAAACAGATAGGTTGAGAAGCAGTGCAAAATAAGTGAAAAATAAGCATGGTATTCACCATTGCCATGATCATGAATGGGCTGTGTTCAGGGTTCAGGGTCCATCTCTAAAAATAGAACAAAGCCAGATAGATTGTATAACATGATTACAAAATATGCCAAAAAAGGGAAGAAAAATCGGAATGATATTTGCTGTTGTCATGATATTGAAGGGGCTGTGTTCAGGGTCCATATCTAAATATAGACAGAAAAAAAAACAACTCAGAGAAAACAGCTGGAAAGTGAAGAAACTTGTACACAATAATTTAGCTATATTTGGGCAGATTCCCATATTTGGAAGTGTATCCTGGACCCTGAATACAGCCTCTCCAATAGTATAGCAACATTAAATATCAGAAATGTGATTATATCATCTGACTAGCCTTCTTTCTTATGCAGATATTGGTCAAAATACATGACTATTTTCAAAAAGTGTCCAATTTTTTCAGTATTTTGTGTTTTTCTCAATAAGGAATGATCTGTGTGACATTATTTATATATATTTGTAAAGCTAAGCAAAGGGGCTACAATTCTTGTTAATAAAGCTAAGTGAGAGGCTGTGTTTCTGGTACCGTGGGAATTTTAACCCAAAAAAGGAAATTCATCACAAATATATAGAGCATCCTATTATAGGTCACAAAATATAACTAACCATCCTCTTTCCTGAGATATATGCAAACAGGACTGTGGGAATATTTTACCATAAACAGAAAAATAGTTATAAAATTGGAAAAATTTGCTATAAAAAGAAAAAAAAAAAAAAAAAAAAGAAAAGAATAGCACACATTGTTGCTATGATATTGATGGCTAGGCTCAGAGCTCAGGGTCTATTTGCAAATATAGAACAAAACTCAGAAAATCATAAAGTGATTACATGACCAATTTCCTAATATTAAATTTAGAGTCCACAGAAAGGACTCATACATGCCATGCAAAGCACTGGCCCACACCCACAAGTGAATTCATCCTCGCTCCCTCGGTCAGATGTAGGACTCAAAGGAGGTGGAGATGATGGTGGAAGGTCATCAGCACGCAGCGCAGGCACGTTGTGGGATGGATAATCAAATGAAAATGAGGTTTGTGTCGGTGTAGCGGAAGGGGAAGCTGAATTGGTAAGTGGCGAGTTACTTCTACTGAATCTCGGTTCTTGGAAAGAGTTGATGAATGTTGTTCCAGGTTGTGATTGAATGGGAGTAGCAATGTCAAGACGAGCAGCATTGTTTTGATCTTGAACATCCCTGCAAATCACACTCCCCCGGTGTCTTTGATAGTGAATTGTAGATTTATGTTTTGTAAGCGGGAGGTATCTGTTGCAAAGATCACATTGTACAAGTAATGTGCTGGTTCCGATTTCTTGGAAGATAGCGTAGTTGACAGAAGCACCTGACGGCATCTGGAATTGCACCGTCTCAGTGGGAGTTTTGGGTAAAGCGGTATAAATCTTTGTTTCTCGGCGGCTCATGGTGTCGATATATTTGATAAACCTTTTGTTCTGGGGTGTCTGCAGCAGGGAATGCTTTCTTGCGTGATATTTATAGGGATTCTTCTCAATGCTGTGCCCGTTATTGATTCTACATGTTTTGACTACGGCGCAGCTACTACGAAGCGCAGCAAGTTACTAGTCCTACTTGTTTTGACTCACAGTGGTATGCTACAGTGGGTAGGAACACGAGGAGCAATGAGCAATCAACCAGGTTTTGCGGCGAGTGATATTGAAGTGAAGCTGGCTTGATTTAGTCTTACCTGCCCGATATATTGGACCCTGGATTCAACTCCTTTGGGACTTTGATGGGACAAGACGAAGGGAGTCGTTTTCTCGGGATCTTCCGCTCGCAGCCCCTTGGGATAGGGCTGTGAGGAGGGGATACGTGCTGTGGTGGCGAGTAAAATAAGAAGGGTCTCTAATGCACCCACCCAATGAACACCATGGTCCCCAGTCTCGCAGACGACAAAATGTACGTGTCCCATCACAACTCCAAAATCCACTTTCTCGGTTCTCTTGACGTCGTCAAGAAGAAACGAAGAGCTGGGTTTCTCAGGGAAGGAAATGTCAAGGAGTACGGAGTGTTGGCATTTGTTGGGGCTGTTTGTTCCCTATCTCCCAACTACGTTTATCGCGCCAGCAAGGCGGGGAGCGCGAACTGAGTTGGGGCGGCTAATGCCCCTTCGTAACTGAGGACGCCCCCCCTGGAGCCTTGTTCACCATTGAACACGACGCGACATCTAGAGACCCATCACATTACTCATCGTTTGAGGTGAAGGAGGAGTTAGGGAGAAGAAGATGGATCCAGGGTGATTTAAAAGCGAGCGTGACGAGTGGGATTAATCGTTAAGGTGTTTGAAGGGGACGCGGAGCGGAAGGGTTGGGGTATGAGCGGGAAGGTTGGGGTATGAGCGGGAAGGTTGGGGTATGAGCGGGAAGGTTGGGGTATGAGCGGGAAGGTTGGGGTATGAGCGGGAAGGTTGGGGTATGAGCGGGAAGGTTGGGAAGAAGAAAAAGGTGAGTAATTGTAAATCTGAAGAGAGTGGGGACTAGGAGCTTACTTACTTTGCTGTGTGTGTAGGAAACGGTGTCCCATCCACGGCCGCCTGGGAAGAGAAGAACGCGAAACATGGTCAGGTGGTTGGCTACGTTCCAGCGGAGCTGGGGACGGCTACATTGGTTTTTGTCAATGACCAATGACCACCGCGGTTGTTGACGTTGACGGGGCACCTTAACATAGTCAACGTCAATACAAATCCAATGTGCAACAGTAGATACAAACCATCGATGTCAATTATTTCAATTCACCAGTCTTTAGATGTACAAATATCGAAAACAATATGTATTCTCCAAATGTATAGTACACAAATGGGGGAAGACGACGTATATCCAGCAGACCAACCCCGCTTCCAGTGCATACAAAAGAAAAAGCGACAAAACTGAAAAGTTTCATCCCGACCAACGTGCAAATCTTTAACCACACACACTCTCGAAGCCTAAAAGGCCACCCCGCCACGGTGCTAGTCCAAAAGAGGACATACCCAAGGACATACCACCCCAACCTTCGCCCAACCCCGCTCCTGGTCCCCCTGTTCGTCATGACAATGCAAGTGAGGGCTCGACAATGCAACAATTTGCTCTCAGTTTTCTGGCTATAGCTACCTCTTCATCTGTGAGGTGAAGACATTGCTTGTTGTACTACGCATTTCAGCAACATTTGAGATAGACCTCTGCTGCGCTGTTCAAAGGTAGAGTATGAACGATAAAGATCTAGATTTAGTTAACCGACCCTAATGGCCTTATTTAGCAAGTGTTAGGTCTGAGAATACTGCCATATTTAGCAGTTCTTTACCTTGTGGTTATTTACATATCTTCCACATATTTGCTGTGCAGAAATGGACTTGCCTCTTGTAGAAATTTCCTCTCCCATATCTTCGATGTTTATCCGCCTCAGAAAATTCTTAATAATTCCGACGGAAAAAAATCGATAAAATGAAATAAAAGATTTCAAATATCTTTCAACTAATTCCGGTAGTTAAAAGGGAGCATTATGATTAATATCTACCCAATTGTTCCACAATATACCCAGTGGATATATACGCCAAGGCCCGCAGTGTTAGGTGTTATTTTACAGGTCCAGTATGTAATTTTAAACAAGAAAAGATGTGCATTTTTAGATAAAAATTAGCTATAAAATTGGGTAAGAATAAAGAGAAAGAAAAAGAATTATCCTGG